GGGGGGGGGGGGGGGGGGGGGGGGGGGGGGGGGGGGGGGGGGGGGGGGGGGGGGGGGGGGGGGGGGGGGGGGGTACTATTATTTTTGCATGCTGTAGCTGTGATAGACCATTGACCACGCGTCCTCGAGAGAACGGGGCAATGTTCCCACGAGACCCATCACCAATGGCCAATCGTTCTTTCCTACGTTACTTCACAACAAGAGGTGGCTCACAAATATTTTCCCTGTCCTATCTATCCTATCGATATCACTTCCCGCCTTTTCAGCCCACTCCCTTGCCCGAGTATAGCTACAGTTTTCTCCATTCCGTGCCTCAAACATCTCTTTGTACCTTACTTCTGTTCTTGCCAGCTCACTCATGTACACCTCTCTCCTTTTCGTAAAACGGACATTCTGCAACTACATGACCCCGGTGGTTGCGCTCGGTGACGCGTTAACACTTGAACTTGTCGTCTTCGTCTACTTTCTTGAATCTTCGCCAAAGTTCTCCAAGGCTGCGGTCCTCAGCCCCAAATTTGACCCTCAGCTTCGTCCCGGCATCCATGAATATTTGTAGGTACCCCAACTTTCTTCTGTCGACATTCCGTACACATCCAGACCCTCCATATTCTTGGTACCTGTTGTTAGATTATGTTCGTCTCTCTCGGCAAGAGCAACAGATAGCTTCTTCTCGACACGCTCCACGCCTGCCGTTTCCAACGAATCAACTCCGTCAAATATGAACTCCTTCTTACACGTCATCTACAACCGTAGCCCACTCCGTGGGTTGTCTGCCCCTCTTCTTGGTGACCCATTTCGCTTCCCAAGCTATTCTCCGCGACCGACCTCTCCTCTCCCGTGTCGTGCATACGATGCTGCTCTTGTATGCATAGCTTCCTTTTGTCTCTTCCCGATCATAGGGCGTTGGTCCCCATATTTGTCCATACTGTTGCCTTGCTTGCGCTTGGAGCATCTTAGGATGATTTCAGCTGCTTTCATCTGTGCCGCTTCGAGCTCTGAATACCTTCATTTTTCCTTCCCAACCACCTCTGCGTACTAAAGTGGCGGGATGATTACGCTCTTCCAAACTGTCAATTTGATGCGCATATCGACGTGCCGGTTCGCGAGAATTGGGTGTAACTTCCCTGCTCACTCTTTACCCTTTCCCGCTACTTTGGACATGCATGAACTCCACGTACAATATTTTGCCATCTCTAGTGCGAGGTACGTGCGATCTCTGATACTAGAAACTTCTCGATCTCCCGCTCCACTCGGGTAGTGGTTCGTATTTGATTACAATCACGCAGTCTCCTTTTGTAAGTGTGTTTTGAACATCCAGTGCACCATCTCCGCCGATCGACGCACTGCTGTCGAATGGCGTGAGCGTATCTCTCACCTTCCCCCCTCTTCGTTGTGTAATAATATGCAACAAGGGGGGGAGACAGAGAGGAACGCCAACGCCGACACGCGTACCAGCAATTCATCGACCAGCGGAGACGGTTTGCTGGATTTTTCACAACATGCTTATGAACGGGACCGCGTGACTGCAATCTAGCACGACGAGAAGGGAAGCACATAATCGACAGTAACCATTACAGCTAAAGCCCGAGATGAAGAAACAAATCTTCAAGAAAAAATGCTCAGATTTGGCCTTAAATAAGAAAAATCGACCAAGAAACACACCTTACTCGTGCATCCTAAACTAAACTCATCCTACACTAAAACTCTGTACATTATTGACCTATGCTCGACGGTGGTGACAAAAAGAAGAAATTGGGGCCTCGACCCCAAATTGGCGTTTCTTAAAACGCGGGCGCGCGGGCGCTAACATACCTCCGTGGGCAGCCGCAACCCTTCGCGGAGCCCCTTGCGCGTGGTCACCAGGTCCTCGAGATACTGCTTGAGCTCTTCCGTCCAACGCTGACCCTGGGGCAAAATCTGTTGAAATTCCTTCCCCGCCAGGACCTTGTTGCAAAGCTGCCTGCGGCGGGTTGAGGGAACGAGTGTGTAAGACTTCGTACCCCTGTTGCAAAAGCTGCCAGCGATGGGTTGAGCGAACGAGTTTGCAAGACTTCAAAACCCTGTTGCAAAAGCTGCCGACGATGGGTTGATTGGACGAGTTTGCAAGACTTCAAAACCCTGTTGCAAAAGCTGCCTACGATGGGTTGATTGGACGAGTTTGCAAGACTTCATAACCTTGTGGCAAAAGCTGCCTGAGATGGGTTGAACGAACGAGTTTGCACGACGTCATAGTTAGGATCCGGTTGCCTTTGGGACCCCTTCCGTGCTGCCGTACCGAACACCATGCTCGCGACATGCCTTTGTGGGACATCTCACGCGGGTTCACGGTCGCAGCAATCGCTTTCGTCAAACGAACGAGTCGAAATGCTTTTGGTAAGGATAGCGACGCCGACGAGTTAGTCCCACCCTCTTATCTAGCCGAAACTAAATGCTTGGACCTACGAAAACGCACATTAAGTGTGCCGTGGATCGAGCTGATACCCTTTTGATAGGGATAACGACGCCTTCGAGTTAACCCCACCCTCTATCTAGCAGCGGAAACTAAAACCTGGAGCTACGATAACACGCACAGGGTGCCGTGGCCTTCGGGGGATCTGCACAACATTCTGAGCCCGGAAGACGCCCTTCGCTAGGGTACACGAAATCTAAACGGTAGCCTTACCTGACCTCCATCTTCGGGATATCTGCACGACTCTCTTACACCGCAAGACGCACTCCCCCTAGGGGACACGAAACGTCGACGATAGCCTCACCCGAGCTCCATCGTAAGATGCCTTTCACTAGGGAACGTCAACGACAGCCTCACCCGAGCTCTGACCTTTGGCATGGGACACCAAACTCACCTGAGTTCCTTCGGCGACAGCGTCTTCTCGTGGAGGAAGAGGTTGGTGGAGGTGACCTGCGTCATGAGCTTGGCGTAGTCCACCGGCTGCCCGACATCCAGGAAATCGTCCGCCCCTCGGATCTTGACGCGCATGTTGGCCTGAGGAAGGATAAGTCAAGCCGCGACGTGGCAAACAACGTCGTTTACGCAAGTTCAACGGGTTGATGCACCGCATTTTATTGCTCGCCACCCAGCAGTGAACTCCTAACACACTAAATACCACCGCTACCCCCCAAAGGCACGGACAGATTCTTCTTCTTAGCACCTCCATGCAGGAAGGGTTCAGCCCATCGTCTCCGTAGACGAACTGAATGATGGTCTGCTCGCTGTTCCTGACCGTGCGGTCGTACTGCATGCTCAGGTCCTCCAGCGCCTTCATCAGCCGCCGGGCCATGTACCCAGTCTCTGCGGTCTTGACAGCCGTGTCAACCAACCCCTGTGCACCGGAAACCGCCAAAATGTTTACACGGCCAAGTAAACAAGCTGTTCTAAAGCTGTTTCACGTTCCCCACCATTTTTTCCATTTTCTGGAAAAAAATAGATATCTGTAAGTGGTTGGGTGTGCTTGTTTTTGTTTAGGGTATATTTTTCAGTTTTGGGGACGCAATAAAATAGGCGGGTGGCGGATTCGAACTCGGGTTCTCTTCCAGCAAAAGCAGACATGACATCGTCTACATGCCGATATGAACAGAAGGGAATCGTCCTCGACAGACGTTGGGGAGATTCTGGAGGGGGGAATCCACAGCTCTGGGATAGATTCTTCATACCAGCGAGGAGTGGAAACAGGTCTAACTCAATTTCCAAGACATCAACACCCGCCTGATGTACCAGTCGCTACCACAGAAATCCTCGACTACCACAGAAATCCTCAAGCCATTGTGTTCCGTAATGTCAACATGGAAACCACGCACCAGTAAAAGCAATTCAATCAACAGCGATGGCGACAACACCAAGAGAAACATTTTGGTTGAATCATCGCCGGGCTACAGGGTTAGGTGTTGGCCTTGGTCAGACTGCGAAACATGCAAGCGTGTCGCCGGCTTCGGCCGTCTGTGACGATGTCAGAAAGAAAGCAGAGCTCGGTACCACGAGCAAACAGAGGTTGGTAATACAAGTCAGGTCCAACAAGCAACAGCATCAACAACTTTAGCTGACTTAAAAATTCGGCGAAAGGTTAACTTTCCTAGCCAAAGACCCAACTGCATCAAAATGCCCTTATTTCCCGAGCTGTACCTTCCTGCCCACCTGGCTTCATTCGGTTCGAGTCTTCACACCACTACCCAGCAGCAGCAACAAAGGGTACCCTCTCGTACTGGATACACGTTGAAGGTACCTTGCCGCAAGTACCCTGGTTCGGACACTTTTATAACCGTGCCCTGCATGTGGGTCCGGTGAAGTTTGACGGTACCCTGCCGCATTTTTCTGTTGGGTCCGGGCACATCAAAGGTATAAAATAGTACACCAGTGCCGGATACATACGTGACGTTTCTGCGGGTACGAGCTCCCGAACTCGGGCACTTGGTAGTTTGCAAAATACGGGGTGCTCGTCAATAATTTAACCACCAAAAGTATGGATCAAAGTTCCGGAAGAAAGAAAACGGGAGGTGCTTCTGCTTTTATCTTTCCCCGCACAGCCCTCTGACCCCCCCCTCCCCCCCGGGTACGCGCTGTTCTCACCTCTCGGCCCCCCATGGTGTGGAAGAAGAACTCGGTAGCCGTGAGTCCGCTGTAGAAGCTGTTCGCCACAAAGCCCTTGGCCGCAGGGAACAGGCTGTTGGCCTCGAAGTGCGGCAGCGTTCTGAAACACAAGTAGGTGCAAGCAAGTGCATATCGTCAACTCATGGCCTGTCTATCAACCTGGGTTGGGAATACACAAGACAGCCTGTCCGAGCAATCAGTTGCTGTCTGAAAGACGTACCGTGAACCGTTGCGAAGCCTAAACTGTGCATGGTACGGGATACACAGAAGCGACAACTACAGAGATAAGGTGGAAGTGCAGATAGGTCTGTTGGAAAATGGCAGCATAGGACAAAAAAAAGGTATGTCAATCGGGTTGTTATCGATAAGCTTGCCCTGGCCAACTGCTGCCGGTAGCCACACGACAAAACAACTATACCACCTCATGTTAACCACCAACAATACCAGACGACAACAGCATGTGTGCTTCCTTCCGCTCCCAAGTGAACAGATTGACACACCCCACCGTGATTTTTGGATAGATTTATGGTTTCCATTAGATTCATGGTTCCCAATCTGCATCGTTCGTAGTAATCACCTGTTCACGAACCCGTTCTGGATGCGCTTGCCCCCGACCGATTGCTGCCCCACGCAGGCAATCATCTGGGAGATGTTGAGCGGGGATCCCTTGGACCCGCACTCGGCCATGATACGGGGGCTACGCAGAATCGCGGCACGAGGGGCGGCAACACGTACCGTAAACGTGCAGAGCGAAAAGGGCTATTGTTAGGTTCGTGGACGCGTGTAGACGGTGTGCCGGTGTCGTGCAATGTTAGGGCAGATCTAGCTCCTACTGGAAGTTCCAACACCGTCGGATTACCATTCGCCCACCGTATTTTACCGCAATAAAACCAATCAGTACCACCCATTCGCGACAAAAATCATATCGCCGGACCGCTTACCTACAAGCACCCCTTTGTGACACGGGCCAGCCGTTTGGTCAAACCATCAAGGCCATTTAATACTGCTGGCAGTGTAGCTCGAGGCATTCGCGACAAAGAACAATGACCGCGGACGTAAAAGTTGGCACAAACGTCGTGAGCGGTGATGACGACAACACTAGTGATAGCATACCTGTTGACCCAAGGCAAGGCCTTCATGGCCCCTGTCCCCGCTGTCTCTCGAAGCTTGCCGAGAAGCCCGTTCAGCTCACTCTCTAGCGACTGCGAGGTTGCCGCAAGGACACCACAAAAAATGAAACACGGACAGCACACCACAGGACACAACCAAGGTCGAAACACGGGTGATATAATTTGAGTGCCAAGTTCAGGAGCCGGCGACGCAGTTTTCGGACGGGGAAAACACAGCTACAACGAAGCATACGTAGCCATTTCCTGTCGTTAGAGTTGATAGCAACCCAAATACCCTTCCCAATCCAACACGAAAACTCGATGTTCACGAAGCCAAGGATAACAAGATATGAAAAAACTCTGCAAAAGACTTGATGAGAGCGTTCTGTAGACGTGCTGATTGGCTCGGCCCCATCCTCCGTTGTAAGCCAATCAAAACCAACCGGTCCCGTGAGCATGTTCCGCAGGGTGTTTGCCGGTATGGAATATCTTGCCGTCATGAAAGGGCCACTTTCGTCCGCCCGTCACGCCACGCCGCCAGCGGCCAGGTATCTTGAGTCCCCTACGGCCCTACGGAATCACACAACACGTTTTTACCTTGATAGACGCGTCGCTAAGCTTGAATAGACACCTGGTGGTCGTGGAAAAGAGGAATCTATTCGTCCTGGATTCCTTTACCGTCACTTCCGTTACGGTCATCACCGCGGCCATCTATGATGCGGAATAAAAATTTATCTAGATGGAATCGCGGCCCAGTTTAGAGGGCGTCCTGGTCTCTACCTGGCCATCTACGGTGAGGAATTTACCTGGATGGCATCGCAGCCCGGTTTTAGGGGCATCCTGTTGTTGTTGAAGAGCCGAATCTGTTCGTCGGCCTCCGTGTAGCCATCGGTTAGGAGTTCGTGCTTCAGCGCCGATAGCTGCACCCGCCCGCGAGAAAGACAATGGCAGAAGAATCCAATGCGCAAGGTCAGACCTGGGATACCGTAACTTGACATTTCCCTCCAGGAGCGGGAGAACATGTTGAATATAGAGGCAGAGGTGGCAGTACACTGCTGTGCCATGTGCATACTCTACACCACCTTCCGCGGTGGGGGGGGGCGCGCGGCTGCAACCGGGGGGAGGGTAGGCTATAACCAGAGCGCGCGGGGGGTAGACGCATGCCGTGGTCGTGAGATCATTGGGCATCGCATCCCTACCATGCCGGGACGGAGGGAAACGTCAGGTTGTCGCCGGCCCAGGCTTAGCTTCATAAGGAAGAACCAGAAAGCCGTGCGTGTGTGTGTGTATCTACAATCAGCATGACCAACGAGACCGTTACATAATGAAAAGCACCAGCGACGAAACGCAGCAACGAGAGATGAAACGAAGCAGGAGGCCATGGCAAATAACTTGTTACACGCTGGTTGGTTGACGGATGGCTGCTGCTTGCTGCTTGCTCACCTCGGCGCCGGGGGTGACGTCCTCGATGCCGATGCTGAACCCCCTGTGACCACCAAGGTAGCGAGCGCAGACCTTCGCCAGCCGGTTCATGCACCTTCGCCGCCGCAAAAAAAGGAGACATGAGGACGGAGATGGAGAAAAAACGAATTAAGATCGAAAATAAATATCCAGAAACAACGGAGGGGTTATGAAACTCTGGTGCGACTAGCTCATTCGGTAATTACGCTCGGAGGTTGACTTCCGCATTCTAAAAACAAAAACAAAACAGTGGGAAGGAAGCAACGTTGGGGTTATATACCAAATGTTACCAGTAACGATTGAGCCAGCTCCACGCATTGACGGTGCACTCAATGTATGAGGGAGGGGAGGGACGAAAAACAGAAAAATACCGCACAGGGCACAAAAACCCACGAATTTCGTTCTAGAAAGGTGTACCCTTTGGATAGTATTAATGGTTGGCTTGTGACCACGGAAGGCGTCTGCGTCAGGTTGGACAGTACGGATCTTAGAAGGGTACTGTGCGGAGACCGGAACGGCTTTTCATGTGAAGACAACGACGACGACAACAACACTACCACAACATGGATCAAGCCGCCGCCCATCGCACTTGTCTGTAAACCTGGCCTCACCTCGCCGCCTCGAGAGGACCGTGCTCTCGGATGAGGGTGTAGAACAGCCCCGTCTTCGACCCGTCACCCAGGGTCTTCTTCGCCAGGTTGCCGCACATCAGCTCAGAGTTGTGGTAGCAGACGTAGCTGAAGAGCGAGGCACGACGGGGGGGAGACAATCTTAAGCAATAGATGGATGTACAGATAAGATATACATGTACTTCAGGATAAGATACACACGCCTTCTTCGTTCTTGTGTTGGTGCTGCGGGGTATTCACCTCAGGTCATTCAAGCGGACACGGTTGAAATTGACACGTGCATTGACACCTCATCCATGTTTGAGCCATGTTGGAAAAAAAAATCACCTCGAGCAAGGGTCAAGGGCAACAATCAGCGGCTGCGCGTTAAGAACCGGATTCATTCGTGGCATGCCTAGATAGGTTCGTAGCAGACGTCGGCACAACTATTGGATAAGGCATCGGATGTTGCGGAAGAGGGCAAAACATCCAAGAATCAGCTGATGCACACACAGTCCAAAAGTTGTGCTGCACCCACCACACAAGGCGCACCTACCCTATGAAAGACAAACAGGGCACATGCGTGTAGCGGGAAGGACAACAACAGACACTTGACGGGGTTGCTGCTGCTGCTGCTGCTGCTGCTGCTGCTGTTGTTGTTTCCTGCATGTCGCAAGCCCTCCATTGCTGCAGCGGCGGGTGTTGCGCGAGGTGCGATGCTGTACTTGTAGAGCATCTTGACTGCGGCGTGTCGCTGGGGTGGCGCACAATGCCAGCCGTACAGTGCCGCGTACGTAGGGGGCACGCCACGACTGCTCACCCGTCGCTTGGACACAGGAAGCGGTTCCCTTTGTAGTTCTTCTCCTTGCTCTCGAAATTAACAAGGATCTTGTTTTCCTTGGAAGGTCGCACCATGAGGGACATCGCCTACCAAAGACAGATGGGGGGGAGTGGCAGTCAACATCACCAAAAAATTTCCAGGGTTTGTGCGTCTTGGGTTAGACAGCTGTCAGGGCCGTGGGGGGTATTCAGCAACAGCCGACAGCTACTTCGCAACTATGAATCGCGGTTCCCAGGGTGGATAATCTTATGTCTCCAACGAAGTTTTTACAGAACACGCAACTACTACTGTAGCACAACTCGCAATCAACACGTTCCCGCTGGAAGGGTGTTTCAACAAAGTAGCGTCTCCCAGCATTGATATCTCATGTCTGCTGCCACGAATTTCGCGAAACAGCAGATGCTGTACCTCCCAACCAACAACCTCTCGATGGGAGGGGGGTTTCAGCAAAGCCGCGGTGGCAAATCCACGCTCCCCTCGCGGCAATGAAAAAACAGAAAGCAGGAACATAATCGCAAAGAGAGAGGCCGGTAGTATTGGTCGGTGACTATCACAGCAACAGCAGCCACCCTGAAGGAAAAACAAACAACAAGACAGGGGCCGGTGGTATTGGCGGGTGACTGCCACAACAGCAGCGGGCACACCGAAATTCAACGAACGAGAACGAACACACGCACCTGCTTGCCCGTCCACAGAGCGACGGGTTTCATGATGGCCGGAGGCGGGACATCCACCTGTTCCCCCGCGTCCCCCATATACGACGCCACCCTGCAGAAGGTCTCGAAGTCGAAGAAGATGTCCCTCTGGGTGATGAGGTAGGCCGCCGTGAGGAAGTCCTGCGTGGCCGCGACTAAGGGCTCGCCGTTTCTCGGGGTGACCAGGTTGTACGGCACCGCCATCAGCTGCGGGGCCAAAGAGAGATAGAGAGGGGGGGGGGTGAGAGAGAGAGAGGGAGAGAGAGAGAGGGAGAGAGGGAGGGAGGGAGGGAGGGAGGGAGAGGGCAGTTCCAGTGTGCTCGGTTGTATACACCTTGTATGACAGCACTCACAAAAACAACCACAGAAAAAAGCACGGACGTGATCAAATGCACACAAGATGCCATCTCGAAACAATTTTAGGTTTCTGCCAAATATTGCATGTACGACAAGAGCTTCGCATGCGGCTTGTGTGAGAAACACAAAATGCTGTCAAGGAGCCTTCCCAATATTTCCAGTTCAGAGGTGACGCATACTTCACCGAAAAAATTAGCTTTCATGCAAGAAGGGCAAGCAACGTGCACCGAGTTCTTATATTTTCCAGTTCAGAGGTGACGCATACTTCAATGGAAAATGTAGCTGTTACACGAGAAGGGCTAGCAACGTAACGCCGGCTTGCCTGGGCAGCCTCCGCCCTCGCCTCTTCCGTCTGCGGGAGGTGCATGTTCATCTCGTCCCCGTCGAAATCGGCGTTGTACGGCGAGCAGACGCACTCGTTGAACCGGAACGTCCTCCATGGCATGATCTTCACACACAAAGTTATTGGCGGGGGGGCGGGGGGCGGCGGGAGTACTGTTACGCCGGTGTTCAGGAGAACGTGGCATGAAGAAGCAAAGCAGGAGCGCTTGCTTGTTTCGGCAAAGCATGCTCCTGGGCGGTACCCCGGCGAAAGGAGGCCTGCGGAGATGTGCGTTCTACGGGGGGCGTCGTGGCTGACACCAACGCGCCCGCTTAATCGACAACCAAGGCCAAAATACGTCAGCCGCACTTAGCAAGCACAAATTGTTTCGAAAGCACCCACAATAACAACATCAACAACACCATCACCAACACCGACAACAACAGCAACTTCACGACCACCACCAACATCAATAACAACAACGTACCTTTGCCCTGTGGGACATGATGGACATCTTGTGCAGGGACGGCTGCCGGTTGAACAGCACGACATCTCCGTCCTCCATGTGCCTCTCTACGATATCTCCGATCTTGAGCTCCTCAGACAGCTGCTCCCGAACGTGCTCGATAAACAGCTTCTTCACGAAACCGTCGCCTCCATCCAGCCGCACCTGTTTCGTGTTTTGGGACCGGAAACCGAATTCACAGGGTCACCCGAAAGCACGGGGTGAGTTATCCCCGAGGTGTCAACGTCACGAACTGGATTGCATGCCTCTCATTGTTAAACTCCTCGAAAATAGAATGGTTTCGGTCTTTTCTCGAAAGGCTGCCTGCGTCGTCCAGCAGCACCTAGAGCTAGATATGCTCAACAGTTCAACTCTCAAACAGATTGCTTACGTCCCAAGACAAAATGGTGCGGAAATCCGGGAGTCCGACACGTGCAAAGGTTCATTCAATGACGCTAGCGTTTGTCGATGTGCATGCCTGGGCTGGCCATGAGATATCCAAAAACAGAGGACATGCAATCAGAAATAAGGCAAACAGGGTTACTCCAATAACACCAGGGGCAACAACAAGGAAAACGACAACTCTTGGAGACAAGAGTGCGGGCTAAAGCGATCGACGGCCAACACCATGACACAAGAAGGAGCCGGAGTGGCCGTCTAACAATCGTGCTGCGTGAAATAAAACCTACCAAGAAAAACAGAACGTAGTTCTTTCGACTCGCCTGGTTAGCTCCTGGGTGCACGTCGGGCCCGTTTTTCACCACCTTGCGAAGTTTTTCGATGTTGTATCGCGAGACCTGTGCAGGTTATTGCGGAAGGGGCAACGAGAGGCATCGCTGTAACAAAAAACGACCAATAGGTCACAATCCCACTCACACGTCAAGCCACATGTGAACCCTTAGAGCAAGCTAGCCTACCAACGAACGCAGTCCGACCATTACCTCGCCAACACTATTGTTGTGTTTTCTCTCCCTCATCTCCATTTCGTGAATGTTAGTCGTGAACACTCACTCGCCGGCCATTAACCTGGAGTCCAGACAAGTGCTGCCTGCACTAAACAACCACCGCCGCAACGGATCCCCTTGGGCCTTGCATTCACCGTTCTGTTCAATGTACCCAAGACAACTTCGGCAGCACAATCTCCGATCTCCTTAGGCCACGTATCACACACATATCCCGAAGTTGTCTTGGCAGCAACCATCTACGGGAAGGTCAAGTACTCACAGACAAATGCATTGTATCCAAGACTATTCTTGCAAGCAAATTTACCATCTCCGGAGGGCCCACATTTTTCACAGTAAAATTCAACACATTTATGACTCACTGGGGGCAGCAAATCTACTATCATTAGTCATGCATTTACAGTCAAATTCAATGTACAACGACTACATCAATTCACCATCTCGGGGAAGGTCATGATCTTGGCCACCCTCTCAGGCACCCCGACCTGATCCACACGGAGGTTAGGGTCCGGGGAGATAACGGTACGCGCCGAGAAATCCACACGTTTTCCTGTTTGGCGTGTACAGGAAGGTAACGCAAGCACAGCAAATCAGTGCACCAAGTCGGACGAGCAGCATGCAAGCGCACACACGTGTGCATCGATTGTCTACTTACAGCCACGGCAATTACAGTGAGATACAACAAGTGCGAATACCAAGTGTGTTATGTAGCACCTGCATCTGAGTATCCCGTGCCTGTTGGAGAGATGGCCTTGGAGGCAGGCACAACGAAGGTCGATATAAACACGCACGGATGCCCAAACCGTTTTCGATGGGACTGTCAAAATCACCAGCAACGACAGCAGCGTCAACAGCAGAAAACAGCCAACACAGTCACCAACACCGCCACGAATAAGCCCAAGGCCAAGGATGAGACTAACGCCAAGGGAAAGACAAAAAACAGACTTGGGGTGAACGCTAAGACCAACGCGAAGACGGACGCTAAGGGAAAGACTTGAGGTGAACGCCAAGACCAACATGAAGCCGAACGCAAAAGACCAAGAATAGACCAAGACTTAAGACGAACACTAAGACCAATAAAAAACCGAGACTAGAACGAACGCTAAGACCAAAACCGAGAATAGAATAACAGGTACCCAATTGACTTCGAGCTAGACAGCACGAAGACCGCACCTGACAAATTTCCTCTGAATCGACCGCTTTTCCCCTTCAGCCTCTGGCACAACCCTCTGATTGGCTTGGTCGTTAAGATCGGTCTGGGGAGTCCCGGCATCTCGCCGTTGATGTACTGTGCCACCTCCAGCTGAACACCAACGCAAGAAACAAGGCGAAACAAAAAAAATAGGAGTACAGACGCTTTGAGCGAAAAAAAGCATGTGACAGCATGCCTGTATAGGTAATGTGCCACCTCGAGCTAGACACCAACGCAACAAACAACACGAAAACAGAAGAAACAAATGCTTGCCTTGAGCGATTGAAATAACATGTGATAGTACGCCTACATGTGTACTGTGCCACCTCGAGCTAAAAACCAAGGCACGAAAGAAGGCCAACAAAAAAGTGTGTCGGACAGATGCATTGAGCAGCAAAAACATGTAACATAATGCCTAGATCGGGAATACATGCAGCAGAACACCGTACGGAAAAATGCAGATGTGGGAAAGCAAGCGGCCCTGTCGAATACCTTGGTATTATACGAGTTTACGGGCTATCCCTCTCCCAGTAGACCGGCAGCCGTCAGGGGCACCCCTCCTGGACCCATCCAACTATTTCTGCAAAATGAGTGCTCGGCTCCACATGATGCCCCTCCCTGCCTCGAAGCGTTCAGGGCAGCACCCTCTTACCCTCGCCCAGCATTCAGGGTAGGCACCCTGGCCCTTACTACATCTGCCCATCCACCCCCACTGTCGCTTCGCGCTTGGTGATGTGAGAGCCTGGTCCGGTGAGAACCCGACGTGCTCCGTCCCGGCTTAGTAGGGATGCGAGGTCAACCGTCTAACGACTACGGCATGCACGGCTATGAGTACACGCCCCCCCTCCATTGTTTCCTTATCCGCACAATGACTACCGTACCTGCAGAAAGTCCCAGTTCTCCATGATCATCTTGACGTTGGCGCCGTTGTCCAAAGCAGCCTTAACGGAGGCGTTTACGTCTATGATCTCCTGAAGCTTGACCGTGAGGTCGTCTTCGTTGCTGCCGCCGCCGAGGTCCATTGCCACCGACGGTCGGATCGGCACCGGAGGAACCTGACCATGTCCCGTTACACAAAAAAAATGCCTCATCGTCTTGAGGTGTTTATGTTGACGAAACGTATACTTGCAGGCGGTGGTCTGCATCACCGAGCATGAACATCTCACGTGCTGTCAAGGCTTCCAACACTCGGCCCTTCGAACGTGTAATCTATCTGTGGGTGGTACATACCATGCAATGGCACAGAGTGTTTGGAGGTAGCGCGTAGGGTTATCAAATGCCTAAAATTGGGTCAAGCGCGTAGGGTTATCAATGCCTAAAATTGGGTCAAGCCCGGCCGTAGCGACACAAGAAGCCTGGGAACGCGTATCCAGTGCACAAAAAAGGACGAAGCACAGCAGCAGTCTTACGAGAAGGTTCTCGATGATAAGGTTTTCGGGCCTGCCGACCCTGGCGTCCATCCAGAGCAGCTCCGCGTCTTCGTCCGTCATGCGCTGGAAAAGGTGAAGCACCTGTAAAAACACGGCAGATGAAGATTTCAGCGTGTAGCTTGCTGCTGCTTCTGCTGCGGTTGAAAATGTAAACTAATAGCAGTAGGAGGAGAAGCAGCACCAGTAGTTGTTGTTATTGTTGTTGTCGCTGTTGTCTAAACACAAAACTCGTTTTACAGTCTCAGCCGGTACGACTTGAAACTCCCGTGCTTATAAAGATGAAGCGGACACCGCTTTTCCTGGCAGTACAAAATAACGGTCACAAGGTGATTGCACCCTAGTTTCAAGTACCAGTACGCACACAAACATATAGGGCAAGCAGCTCATTTCCCGTGCCCTCAAGGGCTAAGACTTTCCATCCTCGCCTACGAGTAGATGTGCCCCGTTAGCTTCTTTTTTGTCACCATCGCAGGTTCTCCATTGGCAAGCATGCGTTCAATTTATCGCCAGTCGTTTCAGTGCACAAGTGCACTTCTGAACCATGTATGCAACAGTAAAGTAGTCTGTGTTGTTCTTCTCTAATTCAAATTGCATTCGTCAATTGTAGGTCTTGGGGGAGGGCACAGCTACATGAAATACCATGGCATCTACTACACACCTGTACCAATTTCAACAAGCGTCTGCACCTTAACTACAGTACAACCTCCAGCAACGAAAATCAACCACACACCTTTTCGGGCTAGCTTACCCTTTTCTTGCTGACAGTGTGCGTGTTCTCCAGATCTTCTGATGGCTCTATTATAATAGCATTTTTGTGACCACGGATGGATTGAGTCTTTGCTAGAGTTCGGGATTAACAACTGACATACGTGTTTAATGTGAAGGCGACAACAACAACGCCTCCATCGGTTTTGAAGGCGTGCGAGGTCAACGGTCGGCCGACTACGGCATGCACGGCTATGAGTACACCCCCCCCGTTATCGCTCACCCTAAGAGCGGAGAGATCCTCCATCGCCATGCCCAGGTGCTTCGGAATCTCCCGGTTCGCCTGAGCCGCCACCTTCATGTCCGCCGTCAGCTCTTGCAGCACGTTCCCCGGCGGTTTGCCTTTGTATCGGTCGTGAACGAGCTTTAACGTCTGGGACCCGGTGACCTGCCTCAGTGAGGCGTTGCGGAGAGTGGGGTTGGGGAAGGGATGTGTTCACCGTATTACGCAAGAAACCACCCACCTGTGATAAGTTACATATCAGTGAGGCGGGTGTGTGGTTCGGGAAGAACGGGAAGTATACCGCATACTGCGCAAGATAACAACCCCCGGTGATAGGTCACCTATTCAGTGAGGCGTGTGTTGAGGGAGAGGGGTTGGGGAAGAACGGCAAGCGTTCCGTATAGTACGCAAGACAATACCCCCCCCCCCCCCCCCCCCCCNCGCTTGGTGATGTGAGAGTCTGGTCCGGTGAGAACCCGGCGTGCTCCGTCCCGGCTTTGTAGGGATGCGAGGTCAATGGTCTAACGACTACGGCATGCACGACCATGAGTATGAGTACACCCCCGGTGATAGGTCACCTGTTCAGTGAGGCGTGTTTATGTGGGAGTGGGGTTGGGGGAAGAGCGGGAAGGGATGCGCGTGCCGTAAACTACCCAACGTAATACGCCACCGGTGACAAAAAAAAACGGCTCCTAAATATCACCGGGCGTGTTATTGTGTGGTGTCCTATTCGACCTACTACTTGATCTGAGAGTAGTTTTATATGTTGAGATCGTGTTGACCTTCAAAATATTTTGCCACCGGGTGTTGTAGCGTGTGGGGCGTCTGATACATATCTCATGTGTGTGTTCAACTCGTGTAGTACAGGTATATGATCATGTATGTGCCCGCGACCTCCCGCGCAAATACAAAAAAAGCCATCTACATAAAAGCCGGGGGCGGAAGCATTGTTTTTTTTGCCTGAGCCAGAGCTTGTTGCATAGAAACTCTCATGTCTACTTCACCCTCATCGGATGCCCAGGTGGTTTTAGTTTGTAAAAGAACAAGCCCCTTACTCCAGCCGTTTATTCCCCCCATTCACTGCTGTAAGACTTGAGGCCATCCCCTGCGACTGCTGGAGTTGTACATACACATTTCCAACAGTTTTCCTTTGGTTAACTTGGCGATAATACCCGCCTCAGGAAAGTGTGCAAAGTTTCATGGCCTATGTATGAAATAATCTGGAAAATACCAATAAAGGCGTCCGCATAAACTCCAGGGGCGCGGAAGCAATTGTAGTTCTGTTTTTATTGTGAACGAGAGCCTTTGTTTAGTTTAGAAGCCCACACGTCGACAAGGTTCTGAACAGGTGCTCAGGTGGTTTAGCTGGTTATAATGTCCGCCTCACACGCGGAAGGTCGCGGGTTCGAACCCCGTCCCGAGTACATTTTTAGCAAAAAAATTATGAAATCATTACAATAATATCGAACTCATGGAACCACGAAGGGGTTACGTGGATGAGAACCCATGATCTGCAACAAAGGCTTGGATAGAGTGCCCACTCGTGACAAGCCTCCCCAACCCTAACGAGCCGCCCCCCCACTCGTGACAAGCCTCCCCAACCCTAACGAGCCGCCCCCCCCGGTGTTTGCCATTGGGGTCGGGTTTTCGTCGCTTGGCAAAGACGTTGTAAAACAAGCCAAGTCACTTCGTGAACTCGGCAACCAGGATACCGTTTTTTTTTTAACCTCCGTTTTTTTTTTTCTGCGGTAAACATAATGGTGGTCGAGTAGATAATGTTGTGCGGGGTCGAGAACCCTCGCTCCGCACAAGGGGGATGATCGCACCACGTTGTGTTAAAATGGCCAAGCACCCTCGAGGCAGTTATACAGTGCTTGCAACTGTCTCTGGAAGTGAAAGCACCAGAAAGTAAATACAGTCATACGCAGCTGTCATCCGTACGCAAGGAAGCAAGCACAAGATGCCGAAAACCCTTAGCAGGATGCAGCGCACCCTTCATGCGACTCGCCGAATATCTCACGGCGCTTCGCGCTTGGTGATGTGAGAGCCTGGTCCGGTGAGAACCCGGCGTGCTCCGTCCCGGCTTTGTAGGGATGCGAGGTCAATGGTCTAACGACTACGGCATGCACGACTTTGAGTACACGCCCAACCCTAACGAGGCAGCGTGCAGCACGAATAACATTAGACTACCATGCAGCTCAGCGCGACTCAGCTGGCCGCGGCCGCGTCGGCCCCTGCGGGGAAGGCCGTTCAAGAGTTGGTGTGTTTCGACACGAGCTCGGCCATTCGGGCCCTCCCGACTCTGGCACTCGCGCGAGTCTGCACCAGCGAGGGCGCTCCTCTGGAAGGGAAGGACAAGAACGCTCTGTTCACCATGATGCTGCCATTGGTGCTGGCGCTGGGGGCAGGGTACACAGGCGACAATGGAGGATTTCCTGCGCGGCGCGGAGACGCAGGAGCACGGATCGACAGGCGCGATAGCGGCCAGGAAAGCTTTCGGAGCGCGGGCATTCATGGGAGAGGTACTCGAGGTGCTGCGGGATTTCGTCAAAGAGACGGACACGTGCGTAGTCCTGCCGGCCCNGGCCCTCCCGACTCTGGCACTCGCGCGAGTCTGCACCAGCGAGGGCGCTCCTCTGGAAGGGAAGGACAAGAACGCTCTGTTCACCATGATGCTGCCATTGGTGCTGGCGCTGGGGGCAGGGTACACAGGCGACAATGGAGGATTTCCTGCGCGGCGCGGAGACGCAGGAGCACGGATCGACAGGCGCGATAGCGGCCAGGAAAGCTTTCGGAGCGCGGGCATTCATGGGAGAGGTACTCGAGGTGCTGCGGGATTTCGTCAAAGAGACGGACACGTGCGTAGTCCTGCCGGCCCTGCCATCGTCGGGCAAAGCTCCCGCTCGCGAGTCCGGGGCGGCTCCGCCGGCCCCAACTCCGGAGGTGGCGACGGCTCCCGCGGCGGCGGCTGCTGGCCCAGTGGCGGCGGCCATTCCGGCGGCGGTGGCGGCCGCAGCGGCAGCGGCAGCAGCTTCGGCATCCGCGGCACCCGCCCCCGCGGCGGCGCCCGCAACGGCGGGAGCGCCAAGCTCGGCCATCGCAACAGCCCGGNGCTCCCGCTCGCGAGTCCGGGGCGGCTCCGCCGGCCCCAACTCCGGAGGTGGCGACGGCTCCCGCGGCGGCGGCTGCTGGCCCAGTGGCGGCGGCCATTCCGGCGGCGGTGGCGGCCGCAGCGGCAGCGGCAGCAGCTTCGGCATCCGCGGCACCCGCCCCCGCGGCGGCGCCCGCAACGGCGGGAGCGCCAAGCTCGGCCATCGCAACAGCCCGGCAGCAGCAGGCAGCCAACCACCAGGTCATGATGTCGGCGGACGAAGCGTACATGAACGTGGTGCAGGCGGAATCATGCCACGCGGAGGTGAGGGTTACAGTCCCCGTTGCTGACTGTCTCGCGGTGTGTTCTCGTCAACAAAAAAATTAATTTTCGCCAAATTTTCGTCGCCCGTTCTAATTCCAAGACGATCCTGATCCCGTCGAGGATCATCGACTTGTTTGAGTAGTATGTACTTCCGCGCGCATTGTTTGAGTAGTACTCCAACATGTCCGATCCTTCGCGTCAAAATTCCTTAGACGTTTTCGACGATCGTCATGCCTATATCACCCCGGTCCCCGCCGAAATTGCAACGGGAAGGTTTCATGTGCATTAATATTATTGTCATGCTCTTTGGATGTCCCACGCGGACCGGTGATACGACGTAGGAAAGAAGGTCGTAATTTGAAAGGAAATAACTGTCGGTTGTCTGGCAGTTGGGGCTGCTGTACAGGACGTACGATACAAGTGGTCACGGGCCGCGTATACGTGACACGGGGGTTCTCTGCAATTATTGACCGTCTACGCGTATCGCCTCGAGATGGGGCGTACCATCCATCAAGTGTTAAACGTGTGCGTGCATCAATCACCCTGGACATGCTTTCAATGGATCGTGGCACCTCACGAAAATCACATGTCGGCGTACCTTTTCCTCTTACTACCTTTGAAATAATTTCTTTGATATTGCGCCTTTCACATGCTGCATACTGAGCACCATAGGCCTCAACGCTGCGATATAGGTCCACGAACAGTCAGAACGAGTGCAGGTTATTGCTGCCTCACGAAACGACTCCGAGAGCTTTGTAGATGTTCTTAACCTTTCGCGCGTACGCGGATAGGGAGATGCGTGCTCTCGAGCCATACGTTCCCCTTTGTTGGCGATATTGCGATACGACTACAGGAGTTGTTGTCGATACGATTCGCTCGCGAGAGTTTTGGGGAGCCATTTCGCTGGCAGTCCTAGATGCCATGTGCCTCGGGACGAGTGTTTCGAGCCGACTCGTCTCCGTCTCCGATGCGATGAGCTTGCGATTGCTTTTGACGCCGTTTCGTAGGCCGTCCTCGATACGATGTGTTTTCGGGATGCGTGCTTTCGAGCCATTCGTCGGTTTCGATTTACGACGTCCTCGATACAACATACGATGCGTTTTCGGGATGCGTGCTTTCGAGCCATCCGTCTGTTCCGATTTACGACGTCCTCGATACAACATACGATGTGTTTTCGGGATGCGTGCTTTCGAGCCATCCGTCGGTCTCGATTTACGACGTCCTCGATACAACCCTGTCCCGTTCTCGATACGAGGGGCGGGCGATGGCTTGGGACGCCATTTCGTAGGCCGTCCTCGATACGATGTGCTTCGGGATGGGTGCTTTCGAGCCATCCGTTCGTTTTTCAAATTACGATGTAGCAGCGAAACGTTTGGCCCCACGTCGTTAGCTGTCCTTGATGCGATCGCGGCTGACGACACGGCGGGGGCCGCCCTCGGTGCAATTTCGTTTCCACGCAGGTTCGTAGCTCGTTCCTGAAGGTCCTTCGGGTTACGCGAAATGCCGTTCGGGTGTCTTCGCGGCATGACTTGCGAGGCGCCCTCGTAGAGGCCCACACCATCATGGTAGCCGTGGGGGAATCGGCCGGCGAAATCAAGATAATCTCAGATACGGTAGCCAGGGGCGACCGCCTGGTAGTAGCGCTTGGACCGACGCACGGCGCGAGGGCGGCGACCGATGTGTTGGACATGTTTACGGGTCTGCTACCGAATGCTCACGGGGTCTCAAACGATCTGTTTTCGGCGGACTA